TAGACCGTCGTGAGACAGGTTAGTTTTACCCTACTGATGGCTTTCGTCGTTGCGACAGTAATCCTGCTCAGTACGAGAGGAACCGCAGGTTCGGACATTTGGTTCAGCACTCGGTCGAACGACCGGTGGTGCCAAGCTACCATCCGTCGGATTATGCCTGAACGCCTCTAAGGCAGAATCCGGTCTGGACGAATGCGAGAAAAGGGCAACGATAATCTCAGGGGTCTCCGGAGTCGGAAGGCTTCGAAAACCACGAGGACGGGGCGCGGTGGCGAACGTCGCCGTCTTTCTCGCGGAGTTCATTCGCCGCGGGAGGGCGGCGGGAACGACGTCTGCGGTTTCGCGATCGCACGGCGCCGGATCTCGTCGCTTTCGTCGGCCGTTCGCGCTCGCTCGCTCGACGAGCGTTCCAGCAAAGAAAACCGCGTCCGACCGTAAGCGCTAGTGATAGATCTAGAAAGACTGCATCGGTCTTTCCGGATCGCTCATCTTGTAAAAGCGCACGGCACGATGTGACCAAGCACACACAGACACGTGTAAGCCGGATCTCGGGCCGGGCGCGGGGTGAGCGGTTCCCGTTTTGACGCGGGGATCGGTTCCTCGCTCCGTTTTGCCTCCGAGCACCATGGTTCCAGCGTGACACGCACGCGTGCACGTCGACGTGGAGACCCGGAATCGTTCGTAAACGACTTAGGTGCTGGGCGGAGTGTTGTACACTAGAGAGCATCACGAAACTCTGAGATGCGATCTGTTGAGACTATGCTCTTGCTCGGGGGATTCGTCCTGTCGGTTGGACGGGACCTCCGAATTGAAGCGACTTCGTTCGATCAATTTTATATTATTATATATATTATATTTATTTAATTTTTTTTCATTTTTTTTAACTTTATTTTTTTCTTCAAATTTTTTCTTTAACTTTTCTTTTTATCTTTAATTTTTTTTTATTTTTTTCTCTCGGTGCACTTGTGCCCCTGTTGCACTGATCAAAACTCGACGAACGTCGAGTTTTTACAATACGCGCTCGCTCCCGATCCCTTTTTCTCTTTTTTTGTCTTCATTATTTCTTTTTTATTTTTTCTCTCGGTGCACTTGTCGATCAATTTTTTAATTTTTTTTCTTTCTATTTTTTCATTAACTTTTTTTTCTTCATCATTTTTTTTTCTCTCGGTGCACTTGTGCCCTTATTGCACTAATCGAATCTCGACGCACGTCGAGTTTTTACTATACGCTCTCGCGCTCGATCCCTTTTTTTCTTATTTGTTCCCTCGGTGCACTTGTGCCCTTGTTGCTCGTTTTGCGTGCGTGTGTACGTACGTCATTTGACCCTTGTTTCTCCCCCTCATTCGAATAACGCATTCCGTTAAAACGAGGTATTTTACTAAAAAAAAAAAATCAAGCAAATTAAATAAATAAATAAGGCTACAATACAAAGAAAGATAATATATTAATAAAAAATTTAATAATAATAATAATATTTAAAATTGAAAATAAAAAAAAAATCACTTCCGTTCTTTCAATTCCAATACTTTTTCACGCTCCATTGTCTGTTCTTTGTCAATGCGCGCAAGGTACGAGTCAAAGACACCGTGTCCCGTCAGTATTTGCGTGAGCCGAAAGGACAACGCTCCATGCTCACGCCCCGTCCAATCAGGTAACCGCGAACCCAGCACGCGGACGATTTCCCCCCGTAAAGTTTCCGGCCTTCTTCGAGCCGCATACGCCAAGTCTCTAAAGCACCAAAGCCCGGGGGACGAATCTTCCCCCAAAGTAATCGAACAAGAAATCCGGAGCCCGAGTCGAAGTACCGCGACAAATCCTTTCTTCCCTCGTGCCTCGGGAGACGGTCGCGACTTGCCACGCCGCTCGCACCTCCTCCGCAGAGACGAAGTGAGCTTCAGGAGATAGAGAGATATTCCAGAGTGGTCGGGTCTCCGAAGCACCCCCCGCGATCCATCCTCGCTTCGCCCCACCGTCGAAATGACTCGGTCGAACAACTCGCGAGGGTTAAGATCTTCTGGAGACGAGTCGATTCCGCACGATCTTCCCGAGGTCCTTCCTCTCGCATCCCCGCCTTCCTGAAAGAAAAGTACGGAGTCCCACACTTTTTTTCTCCCGAGGTTGGTTAGATACAGGTCTGTCTCTTCGTATTTGGCCGAGGAGAAACCGAAATCGAATTGCCGCACATCGGGACAAAGTCCCTCATGACCCTGGAGGCCGACGAAAAACACCCGGCTGCACTACCGAAATGCTCTCGCCGACCATTGTAAAAATGAACGACAAATCCGACCCGGGTCCCACGACCAGACACATCCGCTGCACTCGTCCTCCAATTAGCTGGATTACAGGATCACGCCACTAACTCCCGGCCCCAAGGAGGTATTTAGCTCAACTACTACTTTTAATCACCTCAAGAAATGTAAAAGTATTGAAAGGAATCTGTTATGCCTTTTCATAATTCCTTACATTAAAATCAATCATTACATAGGCCACTAATTTTTCCTGATTTTCATACAGATTTAAAGGGGGTATCACACTATCAATATAATCAACTATGTTGTAATGAGACAAACTAACTCAAAAAAGGGCCTAAAACAACCAACAATCAGAGTGAATTAACTCTTAAAGATAATAGATATATGAGTCAATATATCAAATCAATAATTAATATAAATATTTTTAAAAATATTATAAAATAAAACTATATTAAAATTATAATTAAATAAGTCGACATGATTTACTACTAGGTATGTCAACCGCTGCACTCCCTCACCCTCTTATTATTATTATTATTATTATTAGTACTCTTATTAAATTCAAACCTTTTTATTTATTTAAAATTTATAAATATCAAATGATCATCACCATCACCGTAGTCGTTTTTTCTGGAACGTGACGCCATTTAAAAAAAAAAAAAAAAAAAAAAAAAAAAAGAAAAAGAAAAAAAAAAACAAATGACGACGTTAATGTTTACATGAATGTGTTTATATATAAAATAATTGTGATATATTGTTTTTCTTTATTTGAAAAAGGAAAAAATAAAAAAATAAAATGGATGATATTGATTCAAAAATGGATAAAATGGAGTCTTCAAAAGAAGAATATCCTTGTAAAAAATTTAAAAAATTAAATTCGGCAAGAAGAATTAATTGGGACGATTACGAAAGGATATCAAAAGATGAGGATTCCATTTGTGAGAATAAAAGAGAATTTGATGGCGTCGTCGATAATTGTTATAACAACGATTCATCATTATCATTTGATATAACAATGGAAGAAGATGACGTTAAAATGAATTTATCGGGGAACGGTGACGTAATAGATGAGAAAAATATAAATCAAGTTTGTTGTAATTATAAAAAATTAAAGGAAAACGTTAATTTTCAATGTTGTAGTTATGTAAGGACTCGAGATGACGTGGGATCAAGGAGAAATTCACTAACGGATCCTGCCACGTTAATCAATTACGATAATACATATAAATATTTACAATGTCGGGGAGAAAGTCAAGAAATTAACGAAATAAACAGTAAAAATTATCAATTTATCATACCGAATCAAACCGTTTTGGTAGAAGTAGTGGATAATAATAAGACAACAATTGAAAACGTGCAAAAATTAAATGATGATGATAACAACGTTGATAAGAAAACTCCGGATCGTAACACATTTAAAAAAATTCACGAACAACTTTTATACGAGTGCAATTTAACACCTAAAAAAATTAAAAAAAAAAATCAAGGTTTCTGATTTTGATGATGATTTCTGGTTTTCGTGTATTAATCTCTCTCTCTCTCTCTCTCTAATTTTTTTACTCCTTAAATCCGTGTGAACTCCGCCATATTTATAATTAATTAAAACAGTTTAACCAAAAAAAATATAAAAATATCCAAATCCGGAAAATTGTTGCACACGCATACGCACACATGTTCAGTTAAAATTAAAAAAAAATAATTCCTACTCCCTTTCCACTTCCTCCCCTCCCCCTCCCCCACCTCCCACTCATAAAAATCAAACCGTTTGTAATTATTGATTTTATTGATTTTTTTTTTTCGTTTTAATTTAATTACCATTAATCCTTAATTTAAGTAAATCATGTTGTGTAGTAGGTATATAATTATACGCACACAGTAACAAAAAAATTAATAAAATCAATTTTTATTGAGATATTTTTTGTAAAATGGATACACATTTTTTTTAAATATGTTATTCTAAAAATCCTTTTTTTGAAATAAAAAATAAAAATAAAACTTTTTAAATGTTGTTTTTGTTTTTTGTTTTCCCCACCGGAAAAAGAAAAAAATAATAAAACTTTATTTATTTTAAGTAATAATAATTTACACTGTACACGTTTTTCAGTCTCTTTCAATTTTTTTTATTTTATTTTCTGATTCCACGTTTAAAAATAAATTATTACAACCGAAATGGAAAAACAATAAAATAAAATAAAAAATTGACTTTTTTTTTTTTTTTGTTGAAAATTTAATCAAGATTCGAATTTTTTTTTTTTTAATTTCCAGGCACGCATATACATACATACATACATACATACATAAATATGTATGTATGTAAATAATTAACGCCTTACATAGATTCGTAAATTCTATACATAATTTTTTTTTTTTTCATTTTTACTTATTTATTTTCTTTCTAAAAAACAACTCCACTAATATAACATATTTTTTTCTTTTTATACAAATTATATCATCATTATCATCATCATCAATTTTTTATATATATATATTTTTTTACTACTTTTATAAAAAATCCCTAATTTGGCTTTTTATTATTATTATTATTAATAAAATGTTTTATATATTGTCCGAACACTTAATCGTGAGAGAGTGAGAGTGCACTTTGTTTATAGCCAGGCTCCAGATTCTTGTTCCAAAACGGATGCAGCATCACTTCTACCCATGACTCTTAATGTATTTAATAAATCCGTGACGGCATTTGATTCTCTGTGTCTTGCTTCCCATAAGTCGAGAATGTGTTCAGTCGGACTCGATTTCGTTGCAAAGTAATTAATGTACCTTTTTTTTTAAAAAAAAAAAAATTTTTTATCATCTTGATTCATTTTTTTCCGCGGCGGCCATTTGTGATAAAAGTTTTTTGGTCGTTACCTATCAACGTTCAGTCTTTGAGCTAACATCCTCCAATCGTTACCTCTTGCGTTCGGCGGATCTAAACATTGGCAAATTTTTTTCCTAAGTGTTTTGTTAAGTCTGAACGGTTGATTTGAATTTTCTAATGTAGCCACACTCGAACTATAACCGGAACTGCACGTGATTGTCACGTTTTTCGGCGGACTAGGTAGCGGCTAAATGATAACAATAAACAACATAATTTTTTTTTCATAAGGATTTTATCATCAACAAAGTGTGATTTTTTAAACAAACAAGCAAACCTTTTGGCAATTGTTATTTAAAGACGGTCCTTTTAATTCAGTGTTAACTCTAAATATTTGGCGATGCGTTGGCGAACCTCTTTGACTGGCTAATATTCTAAATTGTATATTGTCGACGGTTCTGTCAATTTTTTCTATTTTAAACGAACAGTGTAAATGATTGTGAGTTGAATTCCAAATGTGATGAAAAGGAATTTCTACGGTTTCGGATTGAGGTTTCAATTTCCATCCTGAACCGACATCTTCAAGTGTTAATATTAAAGGAGCACTCATATCTTGAAATAATATTGTCTTGGTTTTATCGAGAAGAATACCGCCGAGTTTTTTTTCCAATTCCATAACACCCTAAACATATCATTTAAAAAAAAACAAAAAACAAAATTTTATGTCATCTTTCTTTAATATGTATTTTTCCAAAAAAAACAAAAATTTGTTTTGAATCTCACCTGCAAAGCTGCCGTCGTATCTTCAACCGTGTATATTCTTACATTATAATCTAAGGCTTGAGAAACTTGTGGTCCAAAAACAGCCAATCGAAGCTGTTTAACGGCTCTTCCCGTAGGAAGAGATTCACCGACGAGGCAAAACCTCATCAAAGTATCTGTCACAAGATAAACTTGGCCGTTGTCAAGCTGCGTAAACATGGAGGTGTTTATAGTTTCTTCACCTAAGGTTACTAACCTCTGAAAAATAAAATTGTTTATTAATAATAATAATAAATATAAATTATTCATGAAGTTCTCAAAAAAAATAATAATAAAAAAAATTTGCCTTCTCCTCCACCTCTTTATCGGCTTTGAACATAACCCGCATGTATTCATTTACCGATAAGGACTTCAAATGCGTTTATTATTATTATTATTATTTTTCTTACCTGCCAAACAGGTGGGGCTTCCAAAGGAGAATCACAACACCAAACACTCACACACCAGTGTCCGTATTTTAAACTGGCACAATGCTGAAAATTAATTATAACCGGTTTTTTAAATATTAAACCATTTGGCCCGCACAAAACAACTGGACTCAATTGAGTTTGTTTTTCTGAAAGTTTCGGACGATGTCTGTCCTCTCTTAAAACTGCAACAAACATTTCCTCCTTTTGTCCTCGGGTCAAAGAACCATCGGGCACTGTTAATGTAACCCCTGACCCCGGTACCATGAGTCTACACCCAGAAGAAGTCGCAATTGTCGAAACGCAACAATCAGGATCCAAACCGGAGGGTATCGTGCTATTTATATTGTACATTGAATTTTTCGAGGTAACCGCTGGGAAAAAAAAAAAGAAGAAATGTCGGTTCAACGGTAAGATTAATTAAAAGATAAAAAAAAAAAAAGAAAAAAATGTTTTATTTATATTTACAGGAACATGTAAAACTGCTGAGGCTGTGAATTGAATCTGAATGAGGAGTTTTTTCGCTGGATGGCTCGTGTTGAGGAGTGGCAGTGGCAGGGCAACTACTACTCGCTAAACTTCCCGATTGACTCGACGTAGATGGAGATGTTGGACCTCCTAATTTTAAATTATTTTTTTTATTATAATAAATGAAATTATGTTTAAAAAAAAAAAAAAAAACAAAAATTAAACTTGAATACGAACCTTGAGAAGTGCTTAAATGCGGTACGTCATAATGATGTTCTGAACATGATCTACTTAATCCACATTTATCCGTGTAAGGATATTCGTAGCAAGGATGAACGTTAATCCCGACGACGGTTTGCGTTAAATCAGGTTGCTGCGGAAGCGATGATAAATTTTTCTTTTCTTGATCCGTAAAATATTCAGGTTGATAATCTAAAATCGAACGAAAAAAGTAATAATAATAATTTTAATTAATTACACTTTGGTAACGAAAAACAAAAGGAAACGAAAACAATTTCGTTAGTAAAAAAAAAAAAGAAGAATACTATTTAAAAAGGAGAAAATAAATTTCTTTTTAAAAACGAAGTAAAAGAAACTTGTTGCTTGAATAGCTGCCACGAAAGAATTTAAGAAAAACCACGACGACTCCAGAGAAAATTCCAACATCGACCTCTTGGAATTTAACTTAAAAATGTCACTTGGGTATTGATAAAAGAAGAAGAAAAAAAAAGTCACGTATTTTTTCATCATCAACCTCCTATTTGACCAAAATAATTTTTCATTTAATTTCATTTCGTGAAAACTTTTTTTTCCCCTCTCCCCTTGAAATATATATAAATAAATTTTAAGTTTGTAAGTATACAAACAAACAAACAAATAAACAATCAAACAATCACAAGAATTGCATTATCAAACCAAAAAAAAAAGTAATAACAAATCGAAAAAAAAAAAAAAATTTATTTTGTTAATAATGAAACGTATAAATAATTACCATTCATAAATAAAATACTCATTATTATTATTATTATTACAAGGTATATTTATAAATTATAATAAGGTGCGTCGATAAATAGACAACCGCAAAATGCATTTGCAGGTTGATTATGCAAATGAATTTTAAATAAAAATAAAAAAAAAACTTTCATATTAATGCGGCCTTACATATGGACAACTTTTCGTAAATTAGGCGTGAAATATTTGAGACGCCATCTTTTTTTTTTTATTTTAATTCGTGTGCCGTGGAAAAAGAAATTCTCCATGGAGAATTTTTGAAAGTTTTATTATTAAATGCGTTCACCTTTTGTTAAAATGTTCAATTTCGTATTCTATAAACGTAAAATTTTTAAGTTGCGATTAAAATAAAAAAAAAAAAAAAATTGTTATGGGCGTGTGCATGACCCATTTAAAAAAAAAAAAGAAAAAGATAGAAAGAAAGAAAGAGAAAGATTCTCCAGAACTATTAATTAGTTAATTAAAAATTACATTTAAAAAAAAAAAAAACCAACCATTTTATTCATCTCATTATAATTTTTACGAAAGTTTTTTTTTTTTTTTTAGGTTCGATTAAAATTTTATCTTTTTAAAAAATTCAAAAATAAAAAATTACTTAAAACCGCGCCTAATAAAAGCACTTACGTGAATTACGGAAACGAAGAAAATTCAAAGAACTTCCGGTTTTTTTTTTTTTATTTTTAAAAATCAAAAAGCCTTTTTATTTTCCAGATTTTTTCATTGAATAAAATCGATAAAATTAATATTATTATTATTTACTTAAATATGAAATTAATAAAACTCTATTACATCAATCGTATCGATGAAAACAATCGTACAAACACCAACAACAACAACAAAAAAATCGTTTGTTTTCATTTAACCTCGTGAAAATTCATCGAAATGAAAATTTAAAAAAAAAAATTAATTAAAGTTTTAAAAAATTTTCAATTGGACTTAATAATTAAAATGAAAAATGAAGTGGAAAAAGGAAAAATGAAAAAGGAAAAACAACCTTTTCATAAAATAAAACCTGAAAAACAACCGCTTTAAGGTATTTACTCGATGAAACGCTTAAAACAAAAAGTGTGAAAACAATTGGGGAAAAAAACAACAAGAAGAATAAGATCGAGAATAAGACAGTCGAAGTATAAAACAGATGATAATAAAAAGATAGAGAGAGAGAGAGAGAGACAGAAAGGATGATGAAACGAAAGGAGATGAAGAAATAGGTTAATAATTTGAAAAACCTTTTTACTACTTTTAGTGTTAAATAAAATTAGAAAAGCAACAAATTTTACTTTGGTAAACACACACACCAATGAAAATTTGTTTACAATGAAAACGTTTTTACTAAACCTTGTTATTATTATTATTATTCGATTTATTATCATTGTTTTAATTATTATTATCATTATCATTATTATTATTATTATTATTTCAATATTAAACAAAAAAAAAAATACTACACTCGTACACTAATAATAATAATATCCGCGTACGCCTCAATTAATAAAAACTCTACTACTTTTCCTCCTTCTAAAATAATAATAATATTAATAATAATAATAATAATAATATATATGTACATATGAAAAAAAGAACGAATAAAAACTTTTCGCAGTTTTTTTTTTTTTTTTTTTACGAGTTGGGAAAAAATTTTTTTAAAAAAACTTTATGGAAAATATTTTCCGGCTCAGCTGGAAAGAAAAAACTTTTCAAATTTACATATAAGTTCATAAAAAACAAAAACAGACAAAAAAAAAAAAAACGGAAAATTTATTTTTTTTAATTTTTTATTTGTTAAAAAGGGGGAGGGAAGGAGGGAGGAGAGAGAAAGTTTTTTTTTTATAAAAAAAAACTGTAAAAAGGGGATTTAAAAGGTTTTTCTTTACATTTTTTTTTTTTTAAATATAAATAAACCTATTAAAATAATTAAGAGTTTAATTATTATTATTATTATTATTAAAAAAGCAGAAGAAGAAAAAGAAAAAGAAGAGAAGAAGAAGAAGAAGGAAAAGTTTTCATATCATCGCCGTCTTATAAATTTTTTCTTAATAATAATAATAATAATTATAATAAAAAGCGAAGAAAAATTCAAAGAAGGAACAAAAAAAAAATTATTATTATTATTATTATTATTATTATTATTATTATTATTATTATTATTATTATTATTACCATCATCATCATCATCATCATCGTTTTTTTTTCTTCCTTTTTTTACCCTCTCGTCTAATTAAGTAACGGTTTAAAAGTATTAAATAAAAAAAAAAAATTTCTTCTGCTATCTTGAGGGTGTTTTATTATTTTTAATAATTTTTCCTTTTTTTTTTTTAATTTTTTTTTTTACAGTCAATAAAATTATTTATTATTAATTCGATGATGATGATGATAATAATAATAATAATAATAATAATATTACGATCGGCAATCGATAATTATTACAACAATAACAATACGATGATGATAATAATAATTGTGGATATTAAAAAAAAAAAAAAAAAAAAAAAAAAAAAAAATCTTACCGGAAGCCGCCATGTTGTACATCGAATGATTTCTTCCTTTTCTCTTCAACATTTTATATATAATAAAAATAAGAAAAGTGAAAACTGTTAGTGCCACGGCAAGTCCAATGTATAAAGCAACATTTGTATTTACTTCCGCTTTTGTGGCTGTGGAAAAAAAAAAAAAACGAATTAATAAATTTTCCTATTATTATTTTTTTTTTTCTTCCTGTGACGTCCTCCTCCGCGTCACATCCCACTATTATAATCCCTCCTCCTCTTCCCCCTCACTTCTTCCCACAAACGTTTTTTTCACTTCGTGTTTTTTAAACGGGTGAGGGAGGAGAGAAGGAAGGGGGAAAAGTCAATTGAAAAAAACAAAAATAAAAACGTTTAAAAAAAGAAAAAAAAGAAATTTAAATGCATCATGTGTAGATTTTCATTTAGAATATTAATGAAGGGTAAAAAAAAAGGAGGAAGGAAAAAGGAAAAAAAGGAAAAAAAAAGTAACAAAAAGGTAAAAAAAAAAGGAATAAAAGGAAAATATATATATTGAAAAAGGGTTGATTGAAATTACTGGGCACAAAAAAAAAAAAACTCCCGGCTTTTCCTCTTCTTTTTCCCCATCGTAAAAATTTTCAATAAAGTAAAAAGGATTTATAATAAATAAAAAAATTTTTTTTTGCTTTTTAATATCCTGATTACGGTCCTGTATATCGTATTAAATTATTAAAAATAAATAAAATAAAATAAAATAAAAAATGAAAAAAATGTAGCCGAGAGAAAGTCAAAAAAAAAAAAAAAAAGGAAAAAAAATTTTTTTAATAAGTTTTTATTTTTATTTTTTTGCGGTAGGAAGAGGGAAGGTAGGGGAGGGAAGGCGGGGAGCAAAACCTGAATTCAACGTTTTCAATTATAACAAATGATGAAAACAATAAAAGGCAGAAAACTAAAAATAAAATGGTTCGTTTAATTTAACGAAAGAAATAATAGGATGTGATTAAATAAAATGGGAAAAGATTTTTAAGCCTTTCAACGACTTATAACTATTTTCTATTTGAAAATTTTTTCCTTTTTTTTTTTCTTTCTAAAATTCATGTAAAAATTATTTTTTTTTTAAATTAAAGTTTTATTCATTTTTTTTTTTCAAACAAACATTTTAATGTTGTTGTTGTTGTGAAAATAAAAACAAAAATTCAATTATTCGAAAACGATTTTTTCCTGTAGAAATTTCCAGACGTTTTTTTTTTTTATTTAATTACGTATTTGGCTGGAATTTCCAAAAAAAAACTGGGAAAAACACAGAGATACGTACAACGAATCGATGACGTGATTTATTTTATTTAAAAAAAATTTTTTTAATTTAATAAAAGGTAAATTAATTAAAATATAAAAAAAGTAATTAATTAATTAAATGTAATCGTTTTAAAATTAATCGTTACCATAAAACAACAAAAAAAATCAAAAACAACAAACAACAAACTGTACAAACAACAAAAAAATAAAAAGCAGAAGAAAAGAAAAAGTTTTCCAGCGTTAGAGTAGAAAGTCTTAAGTCACTAATTTATATTGATTGAGTTTTTTCTTAAAATCAAAAAATTTTTCTGTGGGAAAATAAAAAAAAAGGTGACTCTAATTTTAGGAGTGATT